TGGAAGAATATCACCGGTAGGTCGTGAAAAAAGTACAGTTTTTGTAACGCAGCTGAAAGGAAGAATTGAAATGCTGCTAGTGGGGAGTGCTGACTGTCATATACACTGAATTGAGGTGTCTGACAGAAGAGAAAATAGCGAGTGATAAAGTAATTGAACATTGTATAAAAGTGTACGCCTGCTAAGTAGGAGGGAGGGAAGTAATGAAGTTGCAAAAATAACCTCTATACTAACTTCTAATGTTTGATTTGACTTGGATTTTTGAACTCTATGTTAAAAATATAACTTATGAATTTATTTACAAGCACCAAAGGCACAGGTTTATGTTATGTTCAGTAATATCAAAGTAGTAAACCTACCTGTTTTTAGATGTGGAAAAAGACCTGGAATTTGTTCATATAAGCATGGACGATGCCTCAATTTCAGCCCACTGTTGAATCAATTTGGTACAAATATTTTGTAGGTTTTTATTAAACTAAACAAACTGAGTAGTGATATTTCATATAAAATTACCGTGAGAACAAGTGACTGCAGTTGAACTTTTCCTGGCAGAGTTGGAAACTGGGTTATAAGAGGATAGTTAACTGCAAACTCTTTGAGACAGAAATGCCTTTGTGTTAGGTGTTTGGTGGTAGTCTAGCAAAGCACCAGTCCTGGACGCTGCTGGGAACTTCTAAGATATTATGGTTACACAAATAATCATAATTGTATTTCAGATGGTAAGTAAAATGGGTAGAAACTCATTATTTAAGAACTGTAAAGCTAGTGTACGAACCGTTTTGCAAACAAACAGGATTAAGTGGGTAGAAATTGGGTGGAAAAAATGTTGGTTAGTCGCTAGCAACACTGAAACCAAATATACAGATTTTATCTTGGTCTTGGCTCTTTCATGTTAGTATGAGTCATCTTAAAGCCTATGTGCTTCCGTATGAAAATGTGTCTTGTGTAGCAGACCGTGATAAGCAGAGGTGGTCAACTTGATTTTATTTTATTTTAATCCCTTCTAGCCTTCAGGAAAAAGAACAATCGTTCAGCACGTCTATTAAAGAAACTACTGCCAAAGTAAGTACTCGTCAGTTTTCAGTTCTTCAGAATATTTAGGGAAACAGATAATAGCTTGTATCGTAATAAATTGTCTGTGTTTTAGAAAGTTAGTTTCGTGGTGTTTCTTCTAAACAGATTTTACATGTAAATATTTTTAAACACACACTCCAAAAAAAGCCCCCAACTTATATTTGGACAGGCTACAGAGATAATGCTTAAGGAAGCAGATGGAGTAATCTATTGTTTCTTGGCTTATGTTTACTAGTGATCATCTTCTTGCTGGTCTCCATTTAGGAACAGACTCCTTAGCTTCATGAAATGAAAGTGAACTCTGGTCACAGCTGAATGTGTTCACTGTTAATACAGAGCCTCTTACTTTCCTAGCTGACTGGTTTCGTTGGTGTGAAGGAAGAGCATAAATGAAGTATCTCTTTTCCCCACCCTTTCACTAATAATAAACTAGCAATCTGATTCTCATCCCCCTTTAAAAATACGAAGAAAAGTGATGTGGCGCACTTAGCATACCTTTTGTTTCTAACCAGAGATGTTAATGTTTCTTTTAATTTTCTTATTTCTCATGGCCTCCTTCCAAGAAAGAGAATAGTAAAGTTTTCTTTTTATTTCAGAATGGTTCAGTGAGCCATAGAGCATCTTTGCTCCAGGAGTGCTCTAGGAAAAAAGGTCCATTTATTGTAGCTAATTCATATAGGTCTATATGGAACAGGGAGAGGAAAATATTTCTGGGTTTTCATCAGTAATGAATTTATGCTCTGAAATAAGTTTATTTTTCATGTTTTTTCTCTAATACCACTCACCAAAATTGTGAAAATTTTGTCCTTTGTAATCTGTTCTTCCTAGTCATCTTGACCAACGCTTTTAGCATGCATTGTTAAAAAGACCATTTAAAGATTGCATCTGAATACCCCTTCCTCCTTCTCTCCGATTTTACTTTGAGCTCATTCTCCTCTATTCCTTGCTCATGCACACATCTTGGGAAAAATTAGTATAGATCATTACAACATGATGCTCCCCCCTGTATTTTTTAAATGACTATGAATAAAGTATCGAGGAAAAGATTGTAATTGACCTACAGCTCATCTACTGAAATGAATGAGATGTTCGGAACCTCAGAGTGATGTGTTGTTTCAAGCTATCTGCAAGCCAAAATACACATTACAGATTTTTGCCTTCTCCCCTGAAAATGTGTGCTTCTTGAAGTTTTATTTTATAACTGTAGTATCTAGAGACTTTTGCAATAAGAGCTGACAATTGAGAAGTCTGCGAGTCTGAGGTAGAAGTCCACAGCCTGTTTGTTTCTTTAAAAATTCAATAGATAAAATATTATTTTAATTTCATTCCATTCATATGTGATGGCTTTTATTTATTAGAGAAGATAAATAGGAAGCACGTAATGAGACTCCTCGAAATCATTTATTATTTTATTTATTTTATTTTATTATTTTATTTATTCAGATTGACTCATCCCATTATTTTCTTCTCAAACTGAATAGAGCTGGTCTTTTAAACCTTTTCATTGTATGGGGAAAACACTAGTTTGTGAAAGGTCTTTTCTTCCCCCCTGTGCCGCTAGTATTTATATGGCCTTTTCTGCCTCATGTGTTGTTTTCAGCTGAGGCTGCAAAAGCTAAGATTAGCCCATTAACAAAGGGAACAATCTCCCTTACCCACCACCTTCCTTCAGAAATTAATATCTGCTTTTGCTAATGGCAAGATTGTGCTGCATGGGAGATCCAGGTGGACTGTCCTTGTCTTCAGGCAGTGTAAAGAGAATTTCTCTATCTTTTCCAAGGTGCTATTGTAAAGAAATGTGAAGGTTGCTCAAAACTTATTTTTTTCTTGAGATGGTTGGAGGAAGAGTAAATTTCAGTGCTTTAGTCAGTGTCCTTGTCCCTGTTTCTGCTGCTTTGAATTAACATCATACGCTGGCAAGATGGAAGAGGATGACAATGGGCAAATTTGCTTTTGATATTTTGCTGCTTTTCATCTTGATTCCACATATCTTTACTAACCAGCATCCTACTGATTTCAGATAGACTGCTTTTTTGAGTAATGTTTATGTGTCTGAATGCAAATTTGTAAGGTATATTCCTAAACAAGAGCCGTTTTTTTGAAAGTCTGCTTTAAAAAACCCCCACAAACCACCGATGAGGATTTTTAAATAGATACAGTAATATTTGGCTGTAAAGAACGTCCCTGAAACTGAAAGTGAGTTTTTTTAGGCTTGGAGCTCCAAGCCCAGTCCATGGGCTGCAGCAGAGCTGGTCACTGAGAACAGGAGGGCCTGTGCTGGGGCACAGGCACAGGCATGTGCATCAGACTGGTTAGGGGAGGATGGTGCGTTCCCCAGCAGCAAAGGAGGACGCTGGCTTTGTGAATGTTCATCATCTTTGTTAGCTAAGAAATAACCTTTCCTCAGTGGCTGAATAAGCTACTGTAATGAATAACGGTAGCTGTTATTAAGATAAAATAATTAGAAAAAATGAAAAGAATTGGAGCTTGTAGAGTAGAACTGCTGTAACGTAGAAGCAGTGCTATTAGTTTAAAGGATGTTACATTATTTCGCCTCTCCTAGCTGCTCATTTAGTTTTGTCGAACTATGCTATATGATAGCTCTGAAGATTAATGTTGTTCATTTATCTACAGAATACACATGACGTAGATACAAGCAGAGGCTTGGTAACGTACTTATCTCGTGTTCCAGAAGAAACATTTCTGTGAGCTAGAGGAACTTCCTTTCAGCCTCTGGTCCCTGCATTTGGTCCATTAATAAAGAGTGCCAGCGAGCTTTGTTCTGACACTAGTGCTTACAAAGTGGACAGTGTTCACTAGAAACTGATTAAACCTCCTAGCTTATTTTGCATAATTGCCAAACAGCTGTCTACTGGTAATGACTTTAAGTTACTACCAGCATGGGATATATTCATGCAATATTCCTGGAGCTGAAAGATTCCCCATCTAATTGCAATTCACTGAGCCATTCAGTACCCCTAAAGAGAGAGTGCTGCTTAGAAAGAAGTCATTAAAAACTTTCAGATTTATTTTGGAGATGTGAGACAGAAATGGCCTTTGGGTTCTTTGGGCACTTGTATTCACCTCTGACAAGTTTGGGTTTTTTAAAACATTTTAAGTGAATTAGTAGGCAAGTCACTTAGAAGGGGGTACTGAAACAAAGTGAAATATCTGGGAATTGAAAAATTATAATAGGTGCAGAAGTAATGAGATGTATGTGTTTTTAAATTAATAAGAAGACTCTGAAGTCTTTAGATAGTAACAGTTACTGCTTGGAGAATAGTTCTGTTGACTCAAGAAAAAAAAATGACCCATTTATGGTTAACAGATGCTCTCAGCTAAAGCAAAATCCATTTGAAAGGATTTACAGTTAGTGTCATATCTGAATTATTATACTTTAATTGTAAAAACAGAGAAGCCATTAGAGCTGTAAGGCCCTTGCTCCTAAAAAGTGAGGCAATAGCTGTGCTTCTGTTAATAAGCATGGTATATACACTTGTTTTTGAGGGGGGAAAAAGAAGTCAAGGAGGGCAGGGAAACTTTCCTCTGGAGATTTCGTTTCCCATCTCATCTCTTCACAACTGGCCTGTGCCTCTCTTGGCTATTGCTTTACCCTTGGTTCCAATGAATGCAATGTTTTCTCAAGTGTCAGCTACAATTTTAAGCAGATGTTTGATGTCTGCCTTCAGAACAAGAGATTTGCCTTAGCTTGATGAGGGATTTTTCTGTTTGTTCATTTTGCTTTCCTTCACAAATGATGCAATATGGAGTAAGAATCAACTTTTTTGAATATGTGGGAGTTGTATGAATTGCGTATGCTGTATAAGGTCCTTCTGAGGTGGTAATGTACATTTAAATGTAAAGTACAGAAACAGTTGAACTTCCTTTCTTTTTTCTTCTGTCTCTCTCCATGTTTTTAATACCAGTCCTGATTCATTGCTGAAGGAACTTCCAGTTAAAAAGATACGAAAGAGAGAGAGGAAAAGTCAGAAACCTGAACCCCAGTCAGCTGTGTCTCCTGATTGTGAAACAGAGTACAGTATTGAGATGGTATAGCCTTATTTAATGCCTGTGCAGAGAATTAACTATGGCTGCTTTGCCTTTTTTCAGTTAAGATGTGCAGCATGGTATATTTTGTGTAAAGATCGCTATACATTCTATGTTATGACATCTTAAACTCCAAACGTTGGCTTATTTATGCTCCACTCCAAGCATCACTGTTAATGCTGAAATTGTACAGAATTCGTAAGATGGCCTTTCTTCTATGTGCAGCCTCAGTATCTAGTAGTGAAACGTGTCCTCTCTCATGCAGGTAGCTAATGCTAATACCATTCCCTATTTTTATAATAGAATGTGCGGCAAAGCCTGGAAATTTTGATTCATGTTGGGTATTTCTGTAAAGACATCACTTTTCTTCAGCTTCTTCACCTTGCTGTAGGATGTTATGTCGTGTCTGTAAACCAAGAACGTTTGAAGCCCCATTTAAATTGCTTTATACTTTTACATGAATGAATTATATATCATGGCTGTCTGCTTCAATCTAGGTTTGTACGAGTCAGAAGCTCTGCAGTACTTTGAGGAGGAAAGTGAGTGATATTGAGACTCAACTACCAGCTCTACTTGAAGCAAAAATGCTGGCTGTTTCAGGTAGGTTTTAGTGACGAGAAGGACTAACATTGATGATTGGTGTGTTAGAGCAGTAGTTGACCTTTTCATAGCTGAGGCTTCTTAGGAAAAGTCGTTGATGTGCACTTGTCTAGATCCTTTCAAGTCATGGCAAGTCCAGCAGAACTAGTGCGTGAAGGTACTTCAGGCCCCTCTCCACGGTTAGGAATTACTGGCGAAGCGGATGCTGTGTGGTAGACAGTAAACATGCAAAAACCACGATATTTTTCCATAGGTGAAATTGATAAATAACTATCAATAGCTGTTCCTGGACCTTACAAGTTATATGCCTAGAGCTCTCTAGCTAAGAGCATAAATTTACAGTAAAGGTATAATAATTACAAGTGTGGCTTTAAATGACACTTTAAAATGGAATACAATAATTGGCAGCTTCTGCTGTTCAGATCATTAAACAACTAACGTTGGCAGCAAAAGAGCAATTTGGTCCTTGGAGCACTCATGCATGTTATTTACAACCAGTAAAACATTGAAATGTGATTACAGAGTCTGATACATAACAGCTTTACATGCTGCTTACTTGGGATTACCGCACTGTTCACTAAGGAAAAAAGGCAAAGCACAGTTCTGTCTCTTAAGTTTGAAGAGGTGGGTTTTCTAATTTAGCAAATTGTTTGCCGATGTGTAAGCAGGTGTCTCTTTGCTAGACACCTGCCTCAGAGAGGAAGCTGAATAGGAGGGAATGTAGACTTGGCTACAAGGAATTTTCCAGTGTTACACCAAGTAAAGAAAGGCTAAAGGGTTTTTAATACATGTTAAGGCAACATGTTGTAGCTATTGTTGGTGATTTACCTTCTCAATTAGATATAAGAATCTAGTACGGGCACACACAAATTGTTTTAAAATGAAACCTTGTGCAGTGTCACATGGTTTGTTTGCCAGAAGTGGATAGCGTCAGGCTTGAGCAAAATCCTAAAGGAAATTAAGGACCATATCTTGTATTGGTGCTGAGCATGCTCGATTTCCTTGCTTCTCGTAATACCTTTTCGAAATGGAAACCCTCTCTATTTCTCTGTGTCCACCTGCAAGAGGCAAGTTGAGCAATCGCCCTTCTCTGCCCGTGGGCTGTTTGAATGTAGGTAATTTTCTCGCTTTCAGAAACGGGGTCAAAGTTTTCCCCAGTCATTTTATGACTTTCTTGAGAACAAAATAGCCCATAAACTGGACATGCAACTGCTTCATGCTGCCAGCAGGAAGCAGTTGGCCAGAAAAGATGTACCTCAGTCTGACACTTTGGGAGAGTAAATGACAACTTGAGGATGATTTCCAAAACATTCATAACAATATTTTATACTTGCTAGCTCTTAAAAGAGGTTGCTTGTTTCAGGAATGAATTCAAAAGACAATTTAATGCTGATGTTTCTATAAGCTGTTTTCACAGTACTGTGACTATGATTGCCTTTCTATGCTTTTTAAGAAGTATCTGTGCTGTTTCTTAATACTGATAAGAAGCACTGTTTCTTTTTTTTTATTCTTACTCTGAAAAACTCTTAGTTCAGGGCATTTTAACAACTGTGAATGGTACAATCCTAAGTTGTTACTAAGGCAAAATTCTGGAGGGAACTCGTTGAAAATCAAGGACGAAAGGTAATTTGGTGACAGTGAATACTGTAATTTCTTTACCTCATTGTAAGATATGGATACATTTAGTTGATGTGATGGCACTTGTTTATGTTAAATGCAGAGTAGTATGCAGAGAGTATGGGGGAAATACAGGAATAAAAAAAATAGTTTTCTGAAGGCCTGAAAGTGGGAAAAAAAAAAAAAAATTCTTGAAAAAATGGAAATATTTTGGTCTTAGAGCCTGAAGTGATAAAATCAGAAAAGCCACGATGCAGAATGAATAGCAGCTAGCAGAGATGCATGTCAGGAAGAAGAGATTTGGTAAATGCAGAAGAGGAAAGAGGAAGGAAGAGATAAAAATAGCATGCTTTTTTTTTTTTTTAGTAAGGCGAAAACACGTGAGCAGTGGGTAATATAGAGAAGGCTGAATTATTCAGTTTCTGTGTATTCCTGAGTTAGGCATAAATGAGTGACACCTCTTAAATAAGGCATAGTTAAGAAGTAGGTCTTAACCCTTTAAATACTTGTTAAGATTTAAGCAAGATACTGTATGTACATATCCCGTGAACTGTCAGGCAGCTGACAGAATGTTAATGAACAGCCTGGATATATTAAATTGTTAGAAGGTGGGAGAATCTTCAGTTGGGTAATATGCAATTATTTAAGGACAGCCTTGGAATAGCATGAAATTCAGAGGGAATTATAGCGTACATATAAATATGCAGTAATAATAAAGTTTGGTGGTCATAGTTAGAGGTTTTCATTTAGTCTGGAAGCATCAGGCAGGGATAAATGTCTGTTATTTCTGCTTTTTTACCATAGCAGTTAGATTATTCACTCAAACAATTTCCTCAATCAACAGTACTAACGGATACTGAGAAGAACTGGTTTTTTCTAAACAGATGTTGCATCATTTTTGTTTAACGTAGCATTTTCCTTGAGGAAGGAACATAGAGTTAAGTGATTTTGGAACAGTGTCAAAGCAAAAAGGTAACTGAATGCAGTTGCACACATCTGGATTCGTGTATCCCAGAAGTTAAGTTAGATGAGCTTAAGAATATAGTTATTAAGTGATACATTAGTTTTCAGAGCTTACATGTGATGACTTAATGGTGTGATGACTTGGAAAGCATGATATATGCCTCAGCCTTTAATGGCTACCTTGATAGCTTCAGACAACATTCATCTTCTATGTGAACTGTACTTTCTATTCCAAACACATTGATTTACAGTATCGGTGTATTTGCACCAGAAAACGTAAGACTATAGCCGATCTTGTTTTGAGAGGAAAATACCAAAATAGTGCAATGTAAGCGTAACAATTCTATACAATACAATACTATTCAATACAATACCTTGGATTTTAAGACTGTATAATAAACGATACTGTAAGGACATAAGAGTTGATGCTACATATGTAAACGTCTCTCCTCCCTATTATTTTGTCCTTGGAAGAAGTGTAAAATTAAATTTGGAGGAGAAAGACAGACATTTGTGAATCTTTGGATTATTGAAGGCTGTAGAGTAGATACAGTAGATTAATTAAATCCCAGTGAGATTTCATGTGGGGGAAAAAAAAAGCCCATACTTAAATGTTCAAGAGGTATTTCTATGAACAGTTACAATTCAGATCCTTTGTATCAACAACTCCCTTACTTCTGATTGGCATTTGCCAGTTGTGATAAATAACTTGCAGTTAATATTCTTGAGATGCTAGTCCAGAATTTTCTCCCAAACATAATTAGTAGAATCTTATTATATTGTTCACAGTTTTTAAGTCAGTAGCTTTAGCTAATTATAGCTAACAAGTACTCCTGATTGCATGAGATGTTACTGTTGACATACACATTTGTAAATACTTATTGATGAAATCTTATGGTTTAGCATCTACTAGTTTTTTTCTTTTATTAAAACAAAACACCTTAATGGCAGTGCTTAGAAACCTGCATGTGATTATTATATGAGTTGCTTCTTACAGTAGCTCTTAACATGCTTATAAAAATTTTGTCATCAGTTATGGGAAGAACATGGCAATACATGATACTCTGTTCTTTCTGTTAGCATCGTGTGTCTATTTAGCATGAAATTTTTTTGGGGAATAAATTGCAGGTGAAATAATCCTAAGCCATTAAGAAAATTCAAATAGGACAATATGTAAGCAAGTGTGAATGTAACTGTAGAAATATTATTAAAATTTATTTTCCTACTTTGGGCTGTTTTGCAGGAGAGCAAATCATATGTGAGAAATTATATGTTTCTCATTTTTCCTTAGTGAGAAAATAATTTGGGAATAGGAGGGAGCATGTAAACTAAAATGAATTTTTAGTCATCATTTTGTCTGTTTCCTATATATATATTGTTTCCAATATATTGTTTGATATATTTTATAATGACTTCATAGCCTCTATGTGAATTTTTTTCCTCTTAAGAATGCATAATAGCATGGGACTAGATAGCCAGAAAGTGGCTAGCAGGGAGCTAAGCAGACGAGAATGAAATACTGAATTCATTGTGTAGTTATCTGAGATGCATGTCATTAACTTTCCTTATGTCTTTGCAAATACAAATTAGATCCAAACGCAGAAGTTAGAACCAGATGACTTGTAAGTAGGTAAAAAAAAAAAAAAAAAAATTCTGATCTTAAAACTGTCTATACCAGTAAGAGATCGTGTGTCATCATCCTGTAATTAGCACTATCTCCATTTCATTAAATACCTGCAAGTGGGAGCTGCTTGGAAATACTGTTGTGGGATGATTTCCAGCAGTACAACAAAAAGGGTTTTTTCCTTATGTCAATGTAGAAGTATAGTTTATAAATAGCATGACATAAATACTAGATACCGTATTTTCACAAAACTGTTGCCTCTTTGCCTGCTCTTCGATGCCCATTTAGGGCAAGTTCTGCATGGCTCAGAAAGCAACTGTAACAAAAAAGCCCCCAGCCTTCCAGCTTTGGTGCTAAGCATTCCTGTTGGGAATGAATATGTTAGAGAGGGGACAGAGCAGTCAGGCTGGAAGATGCCAGTGCAGGATAAAGGACATTTTCAGGCATACATCTGTGTGTTTTGGTAACGTGGGTGTCTTGTTTTCATGCTTGTACTGTATTCTGTCATTTCATGCAGAAATATATATGGACATAAAGTTCTCGACATGATGTTGAGGTCTTCCCCAGACATGCTACATACAGCTCTTAATTTGGCTTTCATTGGAAGGCAATGGTGCTCCTGGTTTGTTTTTTTGTTTGTTTTTTTGTTTTTTTTTAATCTTTCCTGTTTCTGAGACCTGTTGTTTGGTAACAGTTGGAGAACTCGGCTAGCCTTAGAGGCATAAATACCAATGCCTCTTTGTGCTTTCTCATGAAAGCTAAGTTTTTTGATGAATTGGAGTCTGATAGAGGTCTG